CGACGGAAACCGGGAGTGCGCAACACCGGTTCCCACCCTCGTTAGGACCAGGGCCACAAGTGCCCTGTTCAGAGCTGAGCAAGTCATAGGTCAGAATATGATGTTAACTCTATACCTTATTAACTGGCATGCCTTTTTTGTTTAGTAAATCCCCTAAATTCCATTTGATAAAGGACACTGAGAAGTTAGGTAAACAAAACAAAATTAATCTAGCATTATTAACAAGAGAGGGCATTTCTCTCTGTATCTCATACATTCAGTCTCCCATCCTATCCCCCAAATAGATAAATAATTGACTTCTACCACTAGGAGTAACCTTAGACCTACCACTCTATAAAATTAAATCAAATTGGGAAAAAAAAAAACAACCTAATGTCCAGTTTTGAAAAAAAAGAGCCCTGAATATAGATAGACGTCACATTTGTAATTATTTGTTTACTTTACTAACACAACAACAACAAAACTGATTTATTAACTACTTACTTGGAGCATGACTCTTTTAAGAATATAGTTCTACAGGAATCTTGTAATATTGTTCCTAATGGAATGAACCTGTCTCTAAAGAATGTCTATTCAGAAGAATTTTAAAGTACGGGTTTACGGAACCCTTCCAACTGTTCAAAGCTGTAAGGACAAGGACATTCATGTTTAAGGAAACCTCTGTGTTGGATCTACACAAATGTCAAGGAGCCTTACTTCATAGCTGTTGTCTTCAGGCCCCAGATTTATCCTTTAAAATAAACGGCTTCCAGCTAACAGCTCTGCACAAATCCAACAAGTCACAGGGACACTCAGGAATGGGTCTTTTTAAAAAAAAATCTCATGTGTTGAATCCCACAGAAAGCTAGAGTCAGCTTGTTCAAGAGGAACAGTAGACAAGGAGACACCTAGTGCTCGCTAGCAATCATTTTAGCTTAGGATCCAGACTGAATCATAAACCTTGCTCAGATCTGCAGGTCATCTTATAGTAAATCATTTACATGTTCGTGGATTCAAGTGTTCATTCAACCCCCACTTAGTAAACACGTTTTAGGAGGCAGGCACTCTACATATACCGGGAGCATGGGGTTAAGAGAACCAGCCCTTACCTAACCACGTTTAGACTCTGATCAAAACAACCAGGCTGGTGGGTATGAAACTAAGCAGGAACCACAATTCCCAAATTACAGATAAGGAAGCTCATCTATGACTTATCCAAGGGCAGAAAAAACAGATAAACTAGCTTTCATCAAAATAAAAACCTTTGTGTCTCAAAGGACACTATCAAGAGAGTGAAATGCAACCAACAGAATGGGGAAAATATTTACAAATCATATGTCTCAAAGGGGATTAATATTCCAAATATATAAAGAATTCCTACAACTCAACAAAACCACCTCAGCAAAAAAAAAAAAAAAAAAAAAAAAAAAAAAGAACCCAAACAATCCAATTTTTAAATGGGCAAAGGACTTAAATAGCTATTTCCCCCAAAGAAGACAGAAATGGCCAATAAACACATGAAAAGATGCTCAACACATCATCAGCCAATAGGGAAATGCAAACCACAATGAGACACCACTTCTTAACCAGAAGGATGGCCACTGCCCAAAACAGGAAGAAAGAAAAACAAGTGTTGGCAACGATGTGGAGACATGGAACCCTTGTGCACTGATGGTGGGAATATAAGATGATGCACTCACTGTGGAAATCAGTTTGGCAATTTCTCAGAAAGTTAGACGTTGAATGATCATATTACTCAGTAATTCTGCTCTTAAACATAGCCCCAAAAGAATTAAAGACAGGGACTCAAACAGACGCTTAAATGCCAACGTTCACAGCAGCATCATTCACAAAAGCAAAAGGGAGACAACAACCCAAGCATCTGCTGATGGATCAGTAGATAAATAAAAGGTGATGTATCCATGCAAGGGAATGTCATTTAGCCTTAAAAACGAAGGAAATTCTGGCATCTGCAACAACATGGATGAACCTTGAGGTCCTTGTGTTAAGTGAAACAAACCAATCACAGAAAGACAAATACAGTGATTCCACTTAGATGAGGGATCTAGAGTCAGCAAACTGATAGGGACAGAACACAGACTGGAGGTTCCCAGGGGCTGGGAGATAAGGAGAACGGGAAGATTTCTTAGTGATATTTATTTCAGGTGATGGAAAAGTTTTGGAAATAGTGCTCATGGTTCCACAACATTGTGAATAGACTGCCACAGGGCTGTACCCTTAAAAATGGTCAGAATGCCAAACTTCCTTATATGAATATTTTATGACAAATTCTTAAGAGCTATCATTACCTAATGCAGCTTAGTAGCAAAAACTCTGGCTTCTGCCCCTGCATCTGAAGACTCCCCTAAAATGACCTAAAGTGCAAGTTAAAAATGTTTGCAAAGAAGAGGTAAAATGTACTTTGTAGGCTGGATAGAGAACGGAGTGAGACACAGAGCAGACGTGATATGTCCAAGCAGGGACCAAGGAGGAAGTGAGAGAGAGAGGCTTTGTTCAGCCAAACACAGAATCCTGACGGCGGAGCACGGCCGACGTCTGCGAGATACCACCTGCACCTGGCACGGGCAGACCCGACAGGGCGTATGTTCTGAAGGACAATAAAGAGAGAATGATTTCCAAATTCAAATGTTTACTTTAGGAACTTTTTTAAAATATGGGAAATAAAAAATAGGGACATTTAAAAAAAACTCTGCTTAATCCTACCACTTAGAGATAAATACCCTGAATATTTTAGGGCATTTTAGTTTATTTCTGGCTAAATCTCATTTTAATTTAAATAAAAACTGAAATCGTGGTCCAAAATATGTATGAGGATTTATCTCTTTGTTTGAACTG